TCGGCGGGGTGAAGGCACAAGCCTCTGTGAAGCGCGTCGGGGCCAAGGGCAGGAGTCTGCCCGTCTCCCCTCCCGACGCCCTCGCGAGCGCCTCCTGGGGGTGTCAGTTCCCTGGTCTCCCCCTCCGCGTCGCAGAGGCCCCTGGGTCGAACGCCGAGGGCACCCCTCTGCCCCTCGTCAGACTGCCTACGAGGACCAGGAGCCGTGGGGGGGATTAGCTGTTTCAGGACTGGGGCCCTCGCCCCCCGTAAACCTGGCATCGCCGAGGGCGATCCCACTCTGCCCAGCACCGCCTGGAGAGAAAGAGATTGGGCGCCCAGCAATGGGCATGGGAAGGGTTGGGGTGAGAGAGGGGGATAAGCTAGGCGGGAGGGCATCATGCCTGCCATTATCACATCCAGGGAAGCGACTGAAGGTCGCAATGTCAGTGTGCATCGCGGGGCTGAACGCATCAACCCCTCCTACCGCTTCATGCCTGCCTCTCTCAAATCCAGGGAAGCGACTGAAGGTCGCAATATCAGTGTGCATCGCATGGTTGAGAGCATCAGCCCCTCCTTCCGTTTGGCTGAAGGCCAACGGTTCTCGTGCGCATGAGGCGTCGGCGGAAGCGTTCCCACTCCAGGGAGCAGGGGGCGACGGCTGCCCTGGCGGGATGGTGTCCTGTGATCCAGGGCGAGGATGTCTTGAGTCAGCCAGCCCGCAGGCCCCAAGGTCGACGACTGGTGACGCGGTCATCGTCGCCACAGGGATGGCAGGATCATCGCCGATCGATCGCCCATCCATGCTAAGCCGGAGGGCCGCGCACGTAGCCGAAAACGAAGAATCCAGGGAGTCTGCAATGGCGGCCCGTCCCCGAGGGAGACGCGCGGCACAAAAGACTCCTAGGGGAAACCCCTTGAGCTGGGAGACCCGGCCGAGGGACCGGGGCCCAGAGACGCTTGAGCCAAGGCTACGGACGCTTGAGCCAAAGGCTACGGAACTGGTGGGGATGCGCGAAGCGTCAAGAATTGCTACTGTTTGGTTGCCTGCGACGATTCGCACTAATTGCCTCCTTGATGGAGTCGGAGAAAATGGGGCCGGAGGATCGCGCCGCATCGCCGATATGTCGGCGATGCATCGGCGATACATCGGTGATGCACCGGCGATGCATCGTTGACGTCGGCGACGCATCGGCGACGCCAGCGTGGGGAAACGCGGGCTCCACATCGAGCCGCATCGGCGATGCATCGGCGATGCATCGGCGATGCGGCTCGATCCTCCGACCCCATCTACTCCACCCCATCTAGGAGGCCTGGACTCACGCGTTCTCCGTATCATGCATACGCATGCCATACTAGGAACTCTCCGCACAAATGTGTCGCGGGCGTCGACACCACGCCGTGAGGCCTCATAGCCATTCATATACCGTCGTCGTGCCACGCGCGGAACTCGGAGCGAGCGGGTCCATCTGGCCACGGCGAGCCTGGGCCACGACTGGGTCTCCCGACCGGACACGCAATCCAAAGCCCATCCTCCCTTCTCCCTCCTCCCTCCTCCACCTCCTCCTCCTCCTCCTCCTTTTTTTCCTCCTCCTCCCTCCTTCTCCTCCTCCCCTCCTCCTCCCCCCTCCCCCCCCCCCCCCCCCCCTCCTCCTCCTCCTCCTCCTCCTCCTCCTCCTCCTCCTCCTCCTCCTACTTTTCCTCCTCCTCCTCCTTCTCCTCCTCCCTCTTCCTCCTCCTTTTCCTCCTTGGCTGGAGCAGGAGAGCCGAGAATCGGATCGAGGCGTCGGATCGGCGATCAGAAGGACTCCGAGCGGTGGACACCGACAGCCGGGTCGGGAGAAGTCGAATGGGCGGAAATCGGCGGGCCAATAAGGCCTCCATGGAGCAACCGACATCCGGATCGGACGCCGCAGCCGAGCCGGACTCGGAATCGATCGACATGGAATCGAACATCGAGCCAGAGGAACCGGGGCGAGCCGCGCACGAGGCACGTGAGCATGCTCGCAACCGAGCGCGGATGGGGGCGCTCCTCCAGACGGCCGCGCGCCCGTGCGGCACTCCAGGCGAGGCCGCGCCCCCCGGCAGCTCCTGCCGCGGGCGCGCGGCCGCGCCAATGCCGTGCGGGAGGGCTCTCCCCCGACGCCCTCGGAGGCCCGGGCCAGCCGGAGGCCGTCGGAGGTTCGGTGGAGGCGGCTGGGGGCCGCGCAGGTCTGGCGCGAGACGCTCGCCAGAACGCGGGCAACACCACAAGATGGTTGGGGGAAACAACTGTCATCCATCGTCTCTCCTTTCTCCAATGTGCTCCTTCGGAATGGCTGTTTTACCTCGTCTTCCCTCTCTACCCCAACCCCTGCCCTCGTCACAATCAATGCCATCAAATCTGATATTTGTCTCCCATGTTTTGTCCCTCCTGACTCCTCATCCTGGTCCTCCACCTCCTGCGCCTCCTCATACTCCGTCTCCTTTCCCCGTCTCCTCCTAAAGCCCGCTCCTCATCCTCCGCCTTCCTCGTTCATCCTTTCTCCTCCTCTCCTCTTCCTCCTCTTACCTCCTCGACGGTCGGGAAGGAGCAGGGGGCCTCCCTTCTTCCCCCCTCCTCCTCATCCTCCCTCCTCCTCTTTCTCCTCCTTCGTCCCACCTCCTCCTCCTCCTCTTTGTTTCGTCCTCCATCTCCATCCTCCTCCCACTCCCCCTCCTCCTCCTCCTCCTCGCCCTCCTCCTCCTCTTTGCTTCATCCTCCACCTCCATTCTCCTCCTTGTTTGACGTTGCGCGGACCTCTTGTGTCAGCATGTGGCGTTCTCGGAACTGTAGCGTGCAAGACAAGAACTAAAGCAATCCACGAACACGACTTGGCACACAAGTACCTTGCGGGCGCCGCGGGTCAGGCGGTACAATAAGATTGGCGGCAAGGCGGAAAATAGTTAGTAGGCGCCCGCCAGGCACGTGAAGCAGAATGTACCTTAGTGAATCACCTACCCTCCGCACCAACTCAAATAAACTTCCCGAACATAGGAGGTACAAGCTGCCTCCGATTTGAAAGCAAACTTGTATACATATGCGTGCTGCCTTGAACAAGGGTAAGCTGGTAGTGTCGACATGTATAAGGTGGCGAAGGGTATCTACGACTGCTAAGACTGGCCTGTTAGGCTGGCCTGTAGGACATGTTCGGTGTACGAGGCTGGTAAATGCAGAAACAACTGATTTGCTGTAATCAATGCCTAGTGTAAGCGGGGAAAAACAGAATGTGCGATCCTTGGGCTGCGACCCTTGTGGTGTGTAGCGGTCCTCCTCAACTCCCCACCTGAATAAGCATGCAAATTACCCACGCAAATCCGAGTTTGAATGTAGCGGGCCGCCACGAAGGGTGCTCGAAAAGAAGTGTGAAGCGTACTGCGACATGGAAGTATTTAAAAACGTGGCGGATGGGTAGACAAAGGTCCGAGCAGAGTACAACACGTTGGATGCGCTAAAATCCAAGCAAGGTTGTCTTAGAGCAGTGAGCGTAAACTGCGCTGCGCAGGCGACGGTAGGAGGTAGGTGAACGAGCGCCTGAGCGCAAGAGGTAAAGGCTGGCCTGTAAGGCTGGCCTTGGGGCAGCAAAGCTGCCGTGCCTGCGCTGTTGGTAACATTGGTAACACTTCCCGGCCAGGGCCATCATCCACCCTCTGATACACTCCCGCCGCCCCCCTAATTGTAGGTACAGGCTAGCAACAAGAAATGTGAAGTGATGGCAAGTACCGTGTAGCAGCTCTTGGGTTACTGCCCAAGGTTTTTGGGTTTACCCCGAAACTCCTTGGTCCCAGGACCTACGTGTTTATTGTTAGTTCTTTTCGTGTTAAGCACGAACCCTGAGCATCAAATACTATTAGGGGGTCCCGAAGTGAGGGAAGTGGGAGGAACAAGTGGGGACACGAAGACGATCAAGAGTATGACGACAGGCAACATGTACAACATGGCGTTGGGTAACTGCCACTGCTGAGGCTGGCCTGTCAGGCTGGCCTGTGCGGAAGGTGCTGACTTTCTGTGAACAAACCTAGAGGAGGCGAGAAATAGTGGAATGCAATCTTTGGGCTGCGACCCCTGTGGTGTGGCACGGCCCTCCTCCGCGCCATCCGATCCACCCCACCGCTCGAACCCAACCCTGTAACAATGCCTAGCGTAGGCGTGAAAGACCAAGTGCAAGTCTTGGGCTTCGACCCGGGTGTGGAGAAGGAGTAAAGCAAGCAGCAATGCACACATGTCCTGATGTGAGCGGAGTGTTCAGCTGGTTTGTCGTGGCTGACTTGCTGTAAAACATGCCTAGAGTATGCGGAAACAAGCGTGGTGCGATCCTCGGGCTGCGACCCTTGTGGTGTGGAGCGGGGTAAAATAACGACGGGTGAGAGGTATGTGAGAAGGGTCCGTGTGCAACCGAAATAATGGAGAGCAGGAACCCTAAGCATCCGAGGGACGCTCAGGGTAGCTGCTGTCCTCGACAGTCGGTAGGGCACGGCCCTTGGGACGAGGGGGGCCAAGCAGACATGCTTGACTGGTCAGCTGACCTCTTGAGTCGTGAGAGAGAAAGGGGTGGGCAAGAAGAAGACGAGGACGAACGACCCAGGACAAATGCGTAACGGAACTCCAGTTCCTCGTCCTACTCCTTCGGCAGATGGCCTCGGAGAGGGCTGGTTGGGCGTCGGCCCGACCAGCCGCCGAAGCCCGCGCTGTGGGCGCCGTGGCCGGGGAGACGAGGAGGGCCCAGAGGATGCGAAGCAAAGGGACGAGGAGCGAAGAGGAACAAAGCAGGAGGGATGCTATGCAAGACGACGAGAGCACGTCGAGAGGGCGGCGAGCTCGTTTCAGGGTGGGCCGGCGGACGGGTGCCAGCCTTCCGCCGCGGGCCCGAGCCAGTGGCTCTCCCAAGCCTCTCTCCATTCCTCCTCCCTCTCTTCCCCTCTCCCCCCGAGCGCGGGCATGACGCTCTCTGACGCGCCTGGGCACCGCCCGGCAGCGGCGCGGCCGCCAAGCGGCCTCGGAACTCAGCCACCGCGCCGGGCGTCCCGAGTGGCCCACGCGGCGGCCGCCAGCGCCCCCGCCACGGCGGCGCAGCCGGCGGCGCGTCGCGCCGCGGTGCTCGGCGTCGCGCCAGGGCGCTTGTGGATCAGGTAGGCCGCCTCTCTGACGGTGACTCCGCTGAAGGCCGGGCTGAAAGTCGAAATCTCTGTCTCCGGTCGCCTCGGGGCCGGCCAAGAGTGGGGCGTCCAAGAGGGGGGGGCGCAAGTCATGGCCGGCGGCACGTGCGCGGCCCAGCGGTGGGCCACGGAACGTACTGAAATAAGAAGAAGGGCCATGAAATCTGGGGAGATGTCATGGCCCCCGCCATGATATCCCCCCCCCCTTGTCCTCACACCCTTCTTGGCCGCCCCCGATCGCCGCTCGAGGAGCTCCACGTCCCACGCGCCCGCCGGGAAGAGGCGGCGCACCTCGGCCTCCGGCACGCTGAAGGGCGGCGGGCGCGAGCGCTTGCCCGTCGGGTCCACCGGCACCTGGGACTGGTAGTTTTTCTTTTTGCTTTTGCTTGTTTGCTTGATTGTTTGTTTGTTTTTTCTCATTTCATTTCGACCCCAGAGGTTCCCTGGCCCACGGAAGGGCCAGGGCCGAGGAGCCCGTGAAGGAACGAGGTGAGCTCCCCCACAGGCTGGGCACCTGGGACTGGTCGTACTCCAGCACGATCAGAAGGACCCTGCCCTCTGGCTTCAGCAGGCGGGAGAGCGCGGCCACGTACTGGCGCCTCGCGCCCGGAGGGACGGCGTCGAGGCCCCCGCGGTCCACGGCCACGTCGCACGCGCCCCGCCTCGCAAAGGTGCCCCCGGCCAGCATCGCCGGCGAGGCCTCGAAGAAGTCCGCCTGGAGCAGGTCCAGCGGCCTGGTCCCGTGCACGCCCGCGGGCACCGTGCCGTGCCACACCGCCGGGAAGTCCGCGTAGTACCCGAGCCCCTCCGGGCCGCTCTTGAAGACCCGGTGGGGCCTCGCCCCCGCGAACCCGTCGGCGGCCTGGAAGTCGGCTCCCTCCGCCCACGTGCCGTCGGCGCGCAGATGGAGGGGAGTGCTCCTCCTGAGGCCGCGGACCCTCCCCTGGTGCTCGGATCGGAACTCGCAGATGGGCCTCAGGATGCCCTCGACGCCGACGACCCCCAGCCCCAGCTGGCAGAGGAAGAGCAGGTCGTAGCTCTTGCCGCACAGCGGCACCAGCGCCGACGGGCCGATCTCCGCGTCCAGCGCGGAGACCCCGTCCACCAGCCTGCTGGCATACTTCTCCAGCAGCGGGTGCACGCCCTTCAGGTGAAAGGTAGGGCTCCTGTCCCAGGGGATCTTCCCCCACGTGCGGCCCGACCACCTGGCCAGGCGGTCCGTCGAGCCGTCCGGTCGCGGCTCAAAGTAGCAGCGCGCGGGGCGCCGCGGCTGTGGCGCGGCCAGGGCCGCGCCCGCCGCGCCCGCCGCGGCGCCCGCGGCCGCCAGGGCCGCCGCGCGGCCGCGGGCAGTCGCCAAAGCGGCCGAGAGGCTTCCCGACATGGAGATGGAGAGCAGTGCAGCTGCTGAGCTCGGGCTTGGGCCGCGCTGGCTTGAGCCAACGTGGTTACGGACCGTCTCCTCCCCCTCCTCCTCCTCCTCCTCCTCCTCCTCCTTCCAATACCAGTTATAGTACTAGGTCTAGCACTAGTTCTTGTGATAGGTCTAGGTCAAGTAGTCGTACCCGTGCAAAGACACTCGATGGGGCCTGGCGCGTGGCACAACTCGTGAGCGGGTGTCGCATCTGGCGTCCGCATTTGTTCCCAGTGGTGTCCTTCGGGTGGCGGCCGCTGCCTATGCTGAGTCTTGGGGTGATGCTCACGTGGTGGGAGGACGAGTGAGAGTACGGCACATTCGCGTCGTGTCGACCCCGGCGTTGGTTCCTGACACCGCGGGGGTCGTTCAAACTTGAGCGATCGGACGTTCCGTGAACGCCAGATCGTTCAACGACGGGCCGATTCTGGGCCACGGGCGGCGTTCAACCTTAAACGCACGCGGCGGGGTCGCCGCTGGTCGGCACGACGAAAACCTGCCGTAAGCGAGACAGCTTGTGGTGTTCGTGTTGGGCACTTAAGCCCTCCTCCTGGACCCTCCCCTGTCCAGACGCCCCCATCCCGCGCGAGGGGTTGGAGCGTCCAAGGTGGCCCCAAATGACCCAAAGATGGCCGAACTAGCTCAAGATGGCCTCGGAAATGGCTTAAGCTGTTCCAAATTAGTTCAAAACAGCTTTCAGCATGCATTCAAGAGGCCCCTGGACGGTGCACGCTGTCTGCGGAACTCCCCAAGGCTGCTCTCGAGAGGCAAGCATTAAGTAACGACCTGATACCTAAAATAACGTTGGCATTCTCGCCCCACTGCTCTCACGACCACCCCAAGAGAGTTCCAACCTACTTTGTGTCTGTCTTTGAAGGGGGGAATGTGTTAGTCGAGTCCACCTCTTTTTTGATCATCGGTCGCCTGGATCGGCCGAAGAGGATCTGACCTTTCCCAAACGCCCCACGATTCTAAGATGTTCCCAGAGGTCACCAAATTGGTATTTGTTGTTCGGGGCTTCTCTGGATGACTCCAGCTTCGGCTTGACCACCTAGCGCGAGCTCAGCAGAGGCATTTCTGGCTTGCTCGGGGTTCTGCCTGGGACAATCCTGGGCGCTGGCTTACTGGCTGCCCCCCTCGCTAGCTCACCGCATGCTCCCACCTTTCCCTGAGTGCAAGAACTCACCCAAGACTCGGTTCTATGGGCAATTGGGGATACGCTTAGGTCGAGCATGTCCCCCTACAGGCGGAGTTTGGACGAAATGTTAATCATAGTCAAACACTGCGCCAAATGCTCAAAAATAGTAAGAGATAGTCCTCATACTATTTCTCGACTATACAATATTCCTCCTGTAGAGGGACATGCCCGACTTAAGGACACTTTTTTGGTCGCGGCCGCAAGCGAAAAGCGCAGGCGGCGAGAAGGGTGTCCGGGCCAACGGGCAAGCCTAATTAGCTACAAGGCGCAGCGCGAGCCGGCCGGGCCAGCCCTCAGAGGCAGCAGCTGCGGCAGCGGCGGCGGGGGGCTGACTGGCTGAACTGCAACGCCAAGGGAAGCTCGAGCATCATGCAGACCTGTGGCACGACTTAAGGACACGCGAAGCGTCGGGAACCAACATGTTGGAGGTGGCCGGAGGGTCTGAGCTGGTTGGGAAGATCAGTTCAGACAGGCCTCGGACAAAATAGCGAACACTCATGCCACATTCATATGTCAACGCCTCCCCCTCCCCCCACTGTTCAAAATTGGCAGTGGGTCTGATGAGTTACACCTCGACCGCAGTCTCCCCCCCCCGCGCGTGCCAACTTTGAGTTTGTATGAATCCAACTGCTCTCAGAACCCTTTCCGATGTTGACGCTAGGCGACGATGGGGCGAGGTTTTCCTGAAAACCTGACAACACAGAGGTGCTTCGTGCCAAAGGCTGCGGAACAGAAAGCAAGGACAACATGACTGCAAACCTGCTATACAACTCTCTGGGCCTGCCCACTGTCTTAAAGCTCACATGGGTTAGATAATTGGCAAGAGAATCGACAGTCAGCCCAATTTTTCTGAGCTTTAACTGGTTCTTAAAATCATCCAGAGAGCAAGGTTCGCGCTCTTGTCACAAGCAACAGTACTGCCTCGCCCTCGCGAGGCGCCTCCCTGAAACCACAAAATGTGAGGGAGCAATCTCTTCAACGCGTGGAAAGGAGAGAAAGAGAGAGAGAAAGAGAAACCACCAACCACCACCAGCACCACCAGGGAAAGGCGGGAAAAGGAAGGGGTCGTGTCGCCACACGCCGCTATGGCGCCGGACCTGTCTCCGGATCTTCGCCGTGAAGCCATCGGAGGTGCTTCCCGGAATAGGCTCTGGATCTGTCTCTCCCTGCTGCTCTGTCCTCCCTGTTCCTCATGCTCGTCTCCTCACTCACCAGACGTAACATGCCCGAGGAAAGCAACTTGAACTGGGCCAAATTACCCTTCTGTATGTCCGACTTTGTGAGAGCATCCACCGGCGTCGCCGGGCGAGGTACCCGCCGTATCTGACTCCCAACTCTCGTCATCACCGAACGGATAACCGACAAATCGATGGCGATGCGTCTGTCGGCTTTGGAGCCGCTCGTTTCCTTGTCCAACGTGTCGAATATCCCCTTGACGTCGACTATATGAACGTTGTTCAGGGGGGCAACATTAAGCTTACAGTCCTGCCGAAGAAGCGCGGTGTACGGGCCCACCTCCTCCCTCCAGTGCTCGGTCAGGAGCCCTCCCTGGGTCACGTCTAAAAACAACATCTGCAACCGCTCTGCCTCGGCCACCGCCCCTGACAGGGCCAAGACTTCCCCCCCGAGGGTCGAGGGAACCTGTCGTCGGACCCGGCTGGACCTCCACGCGATAGGAGTAACCCTGGAAAGCTTTCCATCCTGAATGGACGAATCGGCAGCGTAGACCTGCCAGGCCTGCTGAATCTTACTACTATCCAGTCCCCCAACCCCTCCGCAATCGCTTGCGGTCGCGAACACCGTTCTTCCTGGACGAAAAGGCCACGCGATCAGCGGAACCTGGGCGGTGTTTCGAAGGTGATCGACCATGCGATTGGCCTCCAGGACATCTCCGATACAAGCCTGGGTCAGCCGGGAAGCCAGCATCGAGGCAGCGCCTGCTGCCTCGGCGCGCGACTCCCTTCCGATCCAGTTCAGCTTGTACACCAAACTCCTAAACTGTTCGAACTCGTGAGGAAGCAAAGTCTTAGAGTGATTCGACCTACGGTCCCTGGGGAGCTCCACCTTATGGAGATTCTCGAGAATGTATTTCTCCTGATCGAGGAGCACTCGATCGGGCAACCTACGGACCCTGCGGCCGATAAAGTCAGTCCCCTGCTGGTCGACCTTCCTCAACTTACCGAACTTGAACCTACTGGTGAACGCGTTCAAGCGCTCCTCGGCCAGGTCTGGGGCCACGGCGATCAGCCAGTCGTCCACTTCTACCAAGACCTGGGACCGAAGTCTACCATCTACGCGCTCGTAGAACCAGCATGGCTCCATGCTGGCCTTCTGGTACCCTTTCTGGGACATAAAATCGTGAATGGTCTTCTGGAGGGCGAGGGGGGCGTCATCGAGCCCGTAAACCTGAGCTATGAGCTCTATCAGGGCCCCCGGAGCCAACCTCGAGCCATCGCATGGCTCGACAAACACACGACCCCGGGGGCGCTGGAGCTTGTCGCTCTGGCAAAAGGCGTTTTTGAGGTCCCCCACATACAAGTCGAGTCCGTACATGAGAGACACCACAAGAAACAGCATGAGGGGCTCCATTTGTGGTGTCGGTGCGTACACCTTAAGCTCGGCAGTGTCCTCGTCCTCATGACCCCGGACGCACCACCTCGATTTCGCCTTCGGGGGGGCGGGGGTCCCTTCCTGGGGTTTCCAGCGACGCACCATCCTCGAGCTCGCCACTTTGTTTGGAAAGGAGGCTCTGAGCTGTCGTCCAATGTCTGGGGGATGCACAATGACAGCTTTAGTCTCCAACATGGCCTTCCACTCACTGGCATCTGCGGCCTCGAAGGCTCTCCTGTCCTGAGCGTCAAGATCCTTCCACCTAACCTCCTGTCCCTTCCCCACCAGCAAAGAAAGAGAGACGGAACTTGAGCTGGGGTCCACCATCACGTCGGCATTCCCGTTAGAGAATGTGCGCCAGTCTCCACTCCAACCGTCCTCGCGTAGCTGACGATTGATACCGCACAGATAGGCTCTGGCCCCCTCGGGATCCTCTCCCGCCCCAAAACAGACACAAACTCAGGGGACTCGCTGAACGAAGCGAAGACAGCGGAAGTGAGGGGGTCCTCACCGCTCTCCTGCCCTGGCATCTGAGCATCCGTTCCCCCCGGATCTTGATGCTGTTGGGTGGCGCGGGAGATGGGGCTCCTGGACCTACGATGTATCTCGCCTATCTCTTCCCCTTGAAACTCCTCGACCTGCCTGCGGACCCTCCCAGGGAGATCCGCTCGAAAATCTTCTCTAAGGGTCGGGAGTCTTCTGGCCGCGGCGCCAAGATCCAGTCTCTGATTCCAACGAACGGCTTCTGCCACCTGTTGAGGGAGAGAGGAATCGGAAGTCGAGGCAGGAACCGGGTTCAAGGGTCCCCTCGAGCTCGGGCCTGCCCCCGAGGGCTGGTCCTCTCTCCGTGGGGATCGGGATCCTCTCCTGGCATCGTCTCCTGCGGATGGGGCGTTCCCCGCGCCGATGTTCTCTTCCAAGACTCCCCCCAGGCTCGGGGCGCTGTCGGTTTCGGATCCCTGGGGCCCTGGGGGACCTGACGGAGGCCCTGGGATCCCCGAGTCCGTACTCGCGGCCTCGGACGGTGAAGCGCGTTCTTGTCCCTGGAGCGGTCTCGTGACCCGCGGGGGCGCACTTGGTCTGGTACCTGTTGCGCGCGTCGGTGCCGAACTTGCTGCTGACGTGTCTCCTGGGCCCGCGGGGGCACCCGGGTCGGCTGGCC